CAGATGATATGATACTGTACATAAAAAACCCTAAAGACTCCACTCCAAAACTACTAGAACTGATATCGGAATACAGCAAAGTTGCAGGATACAAAATCAACACACAGAAATCTGTAGCTTTCCTATACACTAACAACGAATCAATAGAAAGAGAAATCAGGAAAACAATTCCATTCACCATTGCATCAAAAAGAATAAAATACCTAGGAATAAACCTAACCAAGGAAGTGAAAGACTTATACTCTGAAAACTACAAGTCACTCTTAAGAGAAATTAAAGGGGACACTAATAAATGGAAACTCATCCCATGCTCATGGCTAGGAAGAATTAATATCGTCAAAATGGCCATCCTGCCCAAAGCAATATACAAATTTGATGCAATCCCTCTCAAATTACCAGCAACATTCTTCAATGAATTGGAACAAATAATTCAAAAATTCATATGGAAACACCAAAGACCCCGAATAGCCAAAGCAATCCTGAAAAAGAAGAATAAAGTAGGGGGGATCTCACTCCCCAACTTCAAGCTCTACTACAAAGCCATAGTAATCAAGACAATTTGGTACTGGCACAAGAACAGAGCCACAGACCAGTGGAACAGATTAGAGACCCCAGAAATTAACCCAAACATATATGGTCAATTAATATTTGATAAAGGAGCCATGGACATACAATGGCAAAATGACAGTCTCTTCAACAGATGGTGCTGGCAAAACTGGACAGCTACATGTAGGAGAATGAAACTGGACCATTGTCTAACCCCATATACAAAGGTAAACTCAAAATGGATCAAAGACCTGAATGTAAGTCACGAAACCATTAAACTCTTGGAAAAAAACATAGGCAAAAACCTCTTAGACATAAACATGAGTGATCTCTTCTTGAACATATCTCCCCGGGCAAGGAAAACAACAGCAAAAATGAGCAAGTGGGACTACATTAAGCTGAAAAGCTTCTGTACAGCGAAAGACACCATCAATAGAACAAAAAGGAACCCTACAGTATGGGAGAATATATTTGAAAATGACAGATCTGATAAAGGCTTGACGTCCAGAATATATAAAGAGCTCACACGCCTCAACAAACAAAAAACAAATAACCCAATTAAAAAATGGGCAGAGGAACTGAACAGACAGTTCTCCAAAAAAGAAATACAGATGGCCAAGAGACACATGAAAAGATGCTCCACATCGCTAATTATCAGAGAAATGCAAATTAAAACTACAATGAGGTATCACCTCACACCAGTAAGGATAGCTGCCATCCAAAAGACAAACAACAACAAATGTTGGCGAGGCTGTGGAGAAAGGGGAACCCTCCTACACTGCTGGTGGGAATGTAAATTAGTTCAACCATTGTGGAAAGCAGTATGGAGGTGCATCAAAATGCTCAAAACAGACCTACCATTTGACCCAGGAATTCCACTCCTAGGAATTTACCCTAAGAACGCAGCAATCAAGTTTGAGAAAGACAGATGCACTCCTATGTTTATCGCAGCACTATTTACAATAGCCAAGAATTGGAAGCAACCTAAATGTCCATCGGTAGATGAATGGATAAAGAAGATGTGGTACATATACACAATGGAATACTACTCAGCCATAAGAAGTGGAAAAATCCAACCATTTGCAGCAACATGGATGGAGCTGGAGAGTATTATGCTCAGTGAAATAAGCCAAGCGGAGAAAGAGAAATACCAAATGATTTCACTCATCTGAGGAGTATAGGAACAAAGGAAAAACTGAAGGAACAAAACAGCAGCAGAATTACAGAACCCAAAAATGGACTAACAGGTACCAAAGGGAAAGGAACTGGGGAGGATGGGTGGGCAGGGAGGGATAAGGGGGGGGAAGAAGAAGGGGGGTATTAAGATTAGCATGCATGGGGGGGAGGGAGAAAGGGGAGGGTGGGCTGCACAACACAGAGAGGACAAGTAGTGACTCTACCACATTTTGCTAAGCTGATGGACAGTAACCGTAATGTGGTTGTTAGGGGGGACCTGATATAGGGGAGAGCATAGTAAACATAGTATTCTTCAGGTAAGTGTAGATTAAAAATTTAAAAAAAAAAAAGAAAGAAAGAAAGAAAAGGGGGATTACTCCTTAACAGGATAAAACTATTGGTAAATCAAAGATCAACGCATGCTTTAAATATCCTTAATGTTGATCACTTAAAGGGTGTCAGATGATCAGCTATGGAGGTACTCTTTTCTGATAATATTCCTTTCTCTTAATTAAAAAAAAAAAAAAAAAGCAGTTACTGTGTGCTGACCTCCAATGAGTTCTGCACAGTGGTATAGAGGGCATGTCAAAGTGTGGGCAAAGGGTCTGTTTGTTTCTACGCAGAAGATCAAGGCCTAGCTTGGATACCCAGAAAATGAACTAAGATACGATATGAGGAGGAGCTTCCGGCATCAGCACTCTCTGGAGGACTCGTGCCGGGGGATGATCATCAAAAAGCCTCCACAGGGATCCGGACGATGCTGCGGTTGTGGCTGCATCCAGCCCACCGTCTCCTGGACTTGCCATAAGAAGGAGGAGGGAGATGTCTAGGCTGGCATGTGCATACAGTGAGACAACGAATTTGACTGGATCTGTACTGTTGGAACTCAACCAGGAGTTGGGAGGGGTGCAAGTTGTAGCACCCCAAAATCTCATGACTATAGACTATCTATGGTTAAAAGAACATATGGGATGTGAACAGATCCCAGAAATGGGCTGCTTTAATTTGTCTGATGGTTCAAGTACAGTTGGAAAATATCCATCATATCATAGATAAATTTTCACAAATGCCTAGGGTGCCTAAATGGTTTTCTTGGCTTCACTGGAGATGGCTGGTAATTATAGATTTGCTTTGTTTATGTCACCGTATTCCTATTATGTTAATATGTGTGTGCAAATTAGTTAGTAGTTTAAAACCTATACATACTTAAGGTACTATACAAGAAGATATGTCAAAGAAATAATCAATCCTCCCAAGTTTCCTTCATATGCTACATCTATAGCTTTTCTTCTTCCTTCCTAATTACAACCCTTAAATAGAATTCGTGCCTCATATCGAATTTACCGAGTATCATAATTCCTCCAGGTGGTAAAGATACCTCGAGACAAGTGCTGGGCATAGAAGCCACAGGGCATAAATCTGCAAAGAAGTAAAAAGCTAACCTTTGCAAACAATATGGCTTCTCTCTCACTTACCAACTTTACATTTCCCTGTATGGCCCCGGAAGATGACTGGTTAGCCAGAGACGGGTAAGATTCCTCAAGGGAGGAACAACCTAAGACAGGCACAGTCGCAGGGGGGCCATCAGGTGAGAATTTGGGGATCAACAGAGGTGAGGCTCAGAACCTCACCCCCCCTGCTTTGAGAGAAATCTTCTGCATCCGTGGATGTCTTGCTGCCCTTGTCTAGCCTGGATTAATACTTAGTCCATAGGCACACACCTGATCATCTGATCATCTACATTTGCCTTCTTACAGCACTAAACTATGTTTTCTACCTTTATCTTGCATCTACCTACCACTTCAGCATTTTATTAAAAATAAAAATAATAATAATAATAGGAGAAATGTGGGATCAACATATAAATCAAGTACAAAAATCAAATGAATATTCATATTTGACCTGATGGTTTATAGGTCATATTGCATGATCAAAACCGAAAGTTTCTGTGATGACTGCCCTTGTACTGTTCACCATGTAAGAATTTATTCACTATGTAAGAATTCGTTCACCATGTAAGAACTTGTTCGTTATGCTTCAGAAGATTGGAGACTGACGAGAATTAGGCTTGAGATGGATTAATGATTGTACATTGAGCGTTGACCCCCCTATACTGAATTTTATTGTTGTTAACAACCATTTGATCAATAAATATGAGAGATGCCCTCTCAAAAAAAAATAATAATAAAAAAATAAAAATAAAAATCATGCATAATCCCACAAAAAAAAAAAAAGAGCAGCTTTAGGGAGCAAATATAAGCTTGCAACATAAATCTATTTAAGTTCTACACTTAATAGAATCTGTTAAACAAATGTGAACAGCAAAGACACTACACTAATCAAATTTAGTTCCTGAGTTTAGGAAAACGAGAACTGAAAAATTGAGGGAAATCTGTACACAGTATTAATACCTCACTATTCCTAATCAAATGCAGTGGCAGAGAACACAAAGAGGGTGTGGTATCTACTTTTCTGACTCAAATGCTCCTTACTTACTAGGACTTCATAAGCCTTCAAATGTTACATTACTTAATTACATAGGGAAAATTGTGCATGGTTAAATAATTGAATAAGAAAAAAACCTCAGAAAGTCTGATTTGATAAAATAGGAAATCATGAATAGAAAAATTGCTTCACAACATTTTCCAAACTCAAATGCAAAGATCTTTTCTTAGACTGCTGGATGATCTTTCTTTATGTTTTTTGATGATAGCTTTCCTGTTGTCCTAAGCAAAATGTGTCATCTCTTACACACAAGTACCCACATACTCTACTTGCTGGTGACCAGGATTCAACAGTCCTGCTTAGACCTCTGACACAGCATCTCCAGCCAGAGGGTCTTTATACTAGAGGGCTGAAAATCCATAAAACCCATGTAAAGCAACAAAGAGTCGACATTTTATAGACTAGGGAAAAACAACACATAACTAGGATGTTTAAAGGTAACTACAGCCTAGAAATTAGAAATTAACTAGGGCAAAGAAATTATGATCTAATGTCACAGAAGGGTAATATTAAGGTGACGTGACAAAGTAAAACATAGCTATCTTATTACTTGTTAAAATACATCACAGCTGTAAAGTCCATAATTCACATTTTAACACATAATGAATACTTGTTTCTGTTACTCTTTCCAATGAGGTTAATATGGAAGAGACTTAAGGGAACGTAAACATGCAGCCACAGATGCACAAGGTTACCACAGACCACGAGCAGGGGAAATACGATGAATACTGTACACTGTAAAAAAGACAACAGACACAAGGTGAGTGGCTCACCTCTTCTGTCCTTCGAGTCAGAATTACCTGTGTAGTAAGTGAAAAATAGAAACATTCATTCAAAGAGAAACATTACTATTCAATATAAGGTACGACAAAATAAGCTCTAGGAATATAGATACTTTCTTCTGTGTATGCTGGAGCTAGAATGAGGTATCCTTCAACAACTGAGAAACAAGATTGCCCAGATGCACTAAACTTTAATCAGTGATTTGTCCTTCTCCCTTCGTACAAAAACAATACTGTATCAGTACTCATAAAAAGTATAAGAATACAAAGAGAAAAAAAAAAAGAATACAAAGAGAAGTACAAATATTATAGTATTAGAGGTCTGCATGTCTTTTAGGCCATTCAAATGCAACAGGGCAAAATTAAGGATATAAAAGACCTAAATGATAACAGGTGAAAAAAATCTAACTGGTATAGACCAAACTCTGTATACTAACAGAAAGAACCTTTTCAGAGGCTTGCGGAATATCCACAATTACTAATGATAGCTTTCTTCTGCAACGCAAAAAAGCTAGATGACCAATTGGGGAAAAATACTTGCAACTTTATCATAGGAGGGCAAAGGGTTCATTTCCCTAACAGTAAAGAACTTCTATGAATGAGTCAAATAAACTTGACATTCTAGTAAGAAAAACAGGCAAAGGATAACAACAGCGTATCCTCAGAAAAAGAAATATAAACAATCCCTTCCAAATATGGAAAGATGCTCAACCTCACTCAGTGAGATGCAAATTAAAGCTACACTGAGATGCTAATTTTCACCTGTCAGACTGGCAGAGATCCAGAAGTCTGATACTCTACTGCAATCACCAGAGTGTAGGAAAACAGTAAATAACTCTGACACATGGTTTCTTGGTGTGTTTCCCAATAGATGGAAATCTGGCAATATCCATCAATTGACAAATGGACACTTAAAACAATTTATCCTATTAATACTCTCATGTACACTTGAAATGACAAATTGTATTTGTAAGAGTACTCTAAAAACAACCTTAAGGTACACTGATAGGGAAGACTGGATAAATATATAAATATCTGTATAATGAAGCAGTTCTTTAATATGGAACAAATATGATCAGTTAATTGAAAAAAGCAATGTGCAGAAATGTACATAGTACATTTATCATTTGTGTTATATGGGAAGAAAAAGGAATATATATACATCCATTTGCTTATTTTAAAAAGGAGAAAAACAGAAACTCAAAGCAAAGGTCAATAGTAAAGAAAAATTAAGATTAAAGAATTAAAAAACACTCCCTAAATTACAGTTTCATCAAAATTCAAATAATAGGTATTATTGAAGAGAACAGAGAATATGGAAGAGGGGAGAAAATTTTGGAAGAAATATAGGAAAAATTCCCACAACTGAAGGACCAAGGCTCCAAAGATCCTACCAAGTACCAAGCATAATGAGTGACAAGATCCACATCAAGACACATTTCTGTTAAATTTTAGGACACTAATGATAAAGAGAATATCTTAAAAACAAAAAACAAAGAATTACATATCAGGATAGCAACAGAATCCTCCAAACCTGGGAATATGGAGTCAGTTAGGGCAATGCTTTAAAAAGTCTAGGAAAAAAATATTTGCTTAAATTCTATACACAGCCCTAAAGATTTTTTTAGACATGTAAGGTCTCATACAATTTACCTCCCACGGACCCCTTTCTCAGGAAGCTACTGGAGGATATTTCTAGTAAATGATGGGGTAATCCAAGAAGAAGCCAATATGGAAGCCAAGAAGCAAAGAGAACTCCCACAGTGACAGAGAAGGGGACTCCAAGACTGACAGCTGGGCAGCAGCCCTAGTGAGCAATAAACCCAGACTTGAGTGAGACAACAGAGGATTCAGGAGGAAGATCTCTAACTGATTATCTAATAGGCCTGCCTTTGTGCAAAACTGTGTTGAGAGGCTATGTGTGGGAAGTGTTGGAAGAATTGGCTAGCAACAGGCAAACAGAAAACTAAAGAAACAAAAATACAAGGAAATTATTAAATCAAGAAAAATGTGTACACGAAAGGAAAAACAATCACTTCATACCTACAGCTCAGCATAGAGCTATTTCATAGTCATAATAATAAATAACATCAAATACTGATTTAACCAAAAGTCATGATGTAAAATGATGGAAGGATTGGTAAGATGGTGGTGATGAGTAGGATGTGGGGTTTCAGACCAGAACATCCTGATGTACCATACAGGTTTCCATGCGTTTTAGTGATCTTGAATAAAAGTCACCAGTGAAATGTAGTCTCAGTCTCCTCTGTGAAATGTGTTAACTGTACAATAACTGGTTTCTTAGCTATGGCATAATTTGGATCTAAAATCAGATTGTAGAAAACTTAGTTTCCTAACAGCAGTGTGGGAAGACCACAAAAGTAAGACCTTTGCTACTTGATATCCGTAAGTAGGGCAAATCATTTAACTTTCATAGTTTAATTAAGCATCTATTAAAAGGAGGTAATTACCCATGGTCATCCCAGAGAATTGTTAAATGAAGGACAGTAAAGAATAGAAATTAAGAACATAGGCTGTGGAGTCAGTCAGGCTTGGGTTACAGTCTCACTTTTTCCAGTTACTAATAATTCAGCTTGTACAAGTTATCTTGTCTTTTCTCCCAAAGCAATGGCCATAACTCACAGCAAGGAATACATTTCACATCATTACTTAGTATGTGCTTGTATATAACTGAAACAAAGGTTTCACAAAATGATACATACAACTTGAGTAGAATAGAAATAGATTAATTCTTTAAAAAAACAAAACACTTGTGGTGGTCCACTAAACTGATTTCATGAATTGCTCATGACCCGTACTTGGAAAAACACTCCCTAAATTACAGTTTCATTGCTGTAAATCTCCATCTAAAAACAAAATAAAATCTACTTCATATGATTCATAGGATATTTCAGAGGATTAGTCTATAAAACTCTTAATGCCTAGCACTTAAAAATAGTGTATCCCATTTGCAGATGCCATTGTGAATGCTTTACCCATAGTAACTCATTTAATCCTAATAGCTCTTCTCTGAGACAAATACTATTATTATCATTCATTCTTATTTTACAGATGAAGAAAGTGAGGTACAGAGATTAAATAAACTTGCCTATGATCACATAGCTACTGCATGGCACAGATGGGATTCAAACTTTTGTAGTATGGCTCAGTAGACTGTGCTCTTAGCTGCAAATGCTATAGTCTCTAACAGTACAAAACATGGGATTAAAACAGACGGGGTCCAGATTGTAGGTCTAGCTAAAAAATGTCATCTGTAGTAGCCAAACAAGATTCAGTTCAGCAAATACTTTCTGAATGTCCCCCATGAGCCAAATGTAATTCCACTTAGAGGCACTCATCATCTAACAAGAAATATGAGCCAAGGGAATAAGACTACAGAGGAACAGAGACTTTTGCTAGGATGACAGTTACATAGCTATCAGGGAACAATTATTTCCTTTATTCCTTGCAGAAGCCCTTTGAGGGACCCTCAAAGGATATTCCCCAGAATCTTTCTTCTTAACTGTATGTTAACCAGATATTCCTGAGAATTCCCTTTATCTAGGTTTCATTACTTTGTTCTTTTACAGACCAGGACTCTGAGACTCAAAGAGGTCAGAAAACTGCCCTTCCCCACATGGTCTCAGACTGAGGGCTCTGATCCTATCTTTGGAGCCACTTCTAATTCAACCAGTGACTGAAGGAGAGAAGTGGGTTGGGCTGAGGCCCTGAACAAACCGGCAGGGCAACTTAACCATTTCCCTAAGCTTCTCTAACTCCACCCCTAGCCACAGGCCTCCCACTCCACATCTAATTGTTGTGGAGACCAAGACCCATGGTCTCATCATCCCCATGGATCCCTTCCATTCAAGGCTAATCCTATGACTCAGCTTCTGTATCCTTTCATCTTACTCTCTAGCATCAGTTACCTCCCCTTTGGCTTGTATTTTCAACTTTCTTCTCTACCTTTAAACATAATTAAGCCTCCCCAATCTGACCAGGATATCCCCCGGAATCTTTCTTCTTTTCCTCTTAACTCTTATGTTAACTGGATATTCCTTAGAATTCCCTATACTTAGGTTTCATTACTTTGCTCAGACAATTTTACATAGATCAAGAAATTATATGGCTAGAAAACACAAACAAAAATAATAAAAGGGTGAATAGATTCAAAGAGCCAAAACAAGAACAAACTGAAACCATTTCTAGTACCTGAAGGAGGGAAAGTTTCTGGAGTGGTCACTGCAGTGCTGGAATTCCCCTCCCAAGGTTTTGTTCTGTTATCTGGAAGCCCCGTTCCATTTGGTGAAATTGTAGTGACTACAGAATCAGTGCTTGCTGTTCTTGTGGTCCTACTGTCAGAGTCTGAAGAATTGACAGTGGTTACATAGGTGGCTCCCAGAGTTAGGTTTGGGCTAAATGTTGATGTCACAGAAAGGGAAGTTACTGAAGAAGTAGGATTTGAAGTTTTGGTCTCTTCTTTAACTGACTCTGCTGTCGATGTTTTAATAGATCTTGTAACGCTTACTGAAGGTGAAACTACAAACACCAAAAAAATAAGTTAATATCACATGAAGAATACGTTAGCTCAAAACTTACGAGACTCAAAGCAAGCTCTAATAAACTCTGAAACACTTAGAGACCAAACAAAGACCAGATACACACTCTTGTACACATGTTACCTAATGCTGGACCTTCCTACCACCTCCAAAGGACTACTGCCTGAGGAAGGAATAACTTAGATTCTTTACTTAGTTCTCAAAATCAATGCATATGAGTCACAAATGGCAACTTTTTTTTTTTTTTTTACTTTTCAGGAATGAACAGTCTATTTATTTAGAGTACTGTGTGGTATACAGAACAATGCTGAGCATTCAATATGATGCAGAGATTTCCAAAGACACACACTTACTATCACTTTTAAGTAAAACTAATATTTTTCTTTCTTTAATACTACCTACATCTTCAATTTTGGGTTATTAAATGTAAAAGTAAAATTATCTTCTGAAAACCAGCCTTATCAAGTGACAATTTACCTGTGGTAGTATTGTTGGCACCTACGTGTATCACAGTACTGCCCAGTAGAACAAGAATGAGCCAGGAATCCATGCTGACCTGGAAAATAGACAGCCATGTTAGATAAGGCCTTATATTATTGTAACTACGTCCAAAGTACTCAGCAAAGGAGTACTTTGGGCAAAATCTCCCCAGCTATTAAAACGTGCACACAGGACCAATGATCTTTAGGAAGTCTGATATGTACATTTCCCCAGGAATTGAACCACTTAATTAAATCCTTAAGCAAATATAGACAAGATTTAATAAGAACAAACTTTTTAGAGAAGTAATTATTAACCTTGGCTGCACTTTAGAATCACCCAAAGAACTTAAAAATATCCCTGTGCCAGACTGCATCTCTGGAGGTGAGAGCTAGGTAGCAAGCAGCCTTTCTAAAAGCTCCCCTGGTGATAGCCACGTGCAGCTTTAGCATCTTCAGCATGAGAAATATGGAAAAGGTAGCCTGGCTGCATGAATGCAATGCCCTTCAAAGCAGACATTGTGTGTGTGTGTGTGTGTGTGTGTGTGTGTGTGTGTGTGTGTGTGTGTGTGTGTGTGTGTGTGTGTGTGTAATATCTCAACCTTGATTCTATCTCAGATATTTGTGCCCTACACTGAGTCAGATACTAAGAAAACAACTGGGAAGCAATACACTCACAGGTCACATCTTCACAGGACTCACAGCCTAGAGGTAATTCAGTATGGTAGTGACTCTCCAAGGGAAGCAGGACAATGCCTCTCCATGGGGCATGTAAGAATCTCTGAAGATAGGAGGGGAGATTCATATACACCCTAGCTGTTTGCCTCTGGTACCAGCAAGCATGCTTAGCAGGAAAATGGGTTCAGCAGGTGGCTTTTCCAAGATGCAGCCATACAAGATATGACCACTTTCCTACTCTTCCCACCTGACCATAACCCAAAATTGGGAAAACATACAAGTCCCTCCATAAGAGTTAGGAAAAACATTGGAAGGACAATTATTGTATATGTATACATATGTATTCTTGATAAATCAATAGGAAATGGTTAGGGGAAAAATAACTATATTTGAGGGGAGAGGGTTAGACGATCACTTTATTCCATACAAAATAAAACCCAGATGTGTTGAAGAAGTAAATGCTTAAAAACACATATTAAATGGGAATAAATGAAATTATGTGAGCTCAAGATGAGGAAGGATTTTCTAAACATAAAGGCAATGGAAGAAATAACAAAGGTAAACAGGAAAATCTGACAGTAGAAAAAATAAAAGCTTCTAAATATAAGAGAAAACAATCTTAAACAATGTTTATAGGAATATTTAATATTGTCAAAATGTTATTTCTTTCCAACTTGGTCTCCAGAGTCACTGCAATCTCAATTAAAATCTTAGCAAGTTACTTTGTGAATACTGACACTGCTTCTCAAGTTTGTATGGAGAGGCAAAAGACAGAAGAGCCAACAATATTGAAGAACAAAGCTGGGAGACTAACAATACCTGACTTCAAGACTTACTATAAAGCAAAAGTAATCAAGACAGTGTAGTATTGGTGAAAGACCAAACAGATCAATACAGAAGAGCCCAGGTACAGACCCACATAAATTGATCTCTGACAAGGGAGCAAAGGCAATACAATGAGCAAAGGCAAACTTTTTCAATAAATGGTGCTGGACAACTGGGCATACATGTGCAAAAAACCCAAATCTAGACACAGACCTCATACTATTCACAAAAATTAATTCAAAATGGATCATAGCCCTAAATGTAAAAGCAGAACTATAAAACTCCTAGAAGATAACACAGAAGAAAATGAAATGACCTTGAATATGGGGATGACTTAACACCAAAGGCATGACCCATGAAAAAAAGAAGCTGGACTTTATTAAATTAAAAACTTTTGCTCTATAAAAGACAATGTCAGGAGAATGAGGAAACAAGCCACAGATGAGAGAAAATATCTGCAAGAGACACATCTGCTATAGGACGGTTATCCAAACTATGCAAAGAACTATTAAAACTCAGTAAGTAAACTACCAACTCAATTAAAAATGGTCAAAAGGCCTGAAGAAACACCTCATCAAAGAAGATAGAAAAATGGTAAATAAGCATATGAAAAGATGTTTAACAAGGGATGTCATTAGGAAACTGCAAATTAAGACAACGATGAGATTCCACAACACACCTATCACAATGGCCAAAATCCAAAACCTTGACACCACTGAATACTTCTATGGTGTAGAGGAACAGGGACTCTCACTGCTGGTAAGAATGAAATGTGGTACTTTGGAAGATAATCTGGCAGTTTTTTATCAAACTAAACATACTCTTACCATATTGAGGCAGAGTAGGGACATGGAATAAGCTTCATGATTAATTTTTCCTGCCTACGATGAAAAATGCCAGGATACAAATAGTATAGTAAGAACAGTAGGAGTGAAATATAACCTCACACAAGTTAGGATGGCCAACATCCAAGACAAGGAACAAAATTGCTGGCAAGGATGCAGAGAAAGGGGAACCCTCCTACACTGCTGGTGGGAATGTAAATTAGTTCAACCTTTGTGGAAAGCAATATGGAAGTTCCTCAAAAAACTAAAAATAGAAATACCATTTGACCCAGGTATTCCACTCCTAGGAATTTACCCGAAGAAAACAAAATCCCAGATTCAGAAAGACGTATGTACTTGCTGCACTGATGGATAGTGACTGCATTGGGGTATGGGTGGGGATTTGATAATACGTGTAAATGTCGTAACCACGTTGTTTTTTCATGTGAAATCTTCATAAGAGTGTATATCAATCATACCTTAAAAAAAAAAAAGACATATACACCCCTTATGTTTATTGCAGCACTATTTACAACAGCCAAGATATGGAAGCAACCTAAGGGTCCATCAGTAGATGAATGCATAAAGAAGATGTGGGACATACACACAATGGAATGCTATCCAGCCATAAGAAGAAAACAAATCTCACCATTTGCAACAACATGCATAGAGCTAGAGGGTATTATGTTCAGTGAAATAAGCCAGACGGAGAAAGACAAGTACCAAACAATTTCCCTCATTTGTGGAGTATAGCAACAAAACAAAACCAAAGGAAAAAAACAGCAGCAGACTCACGGATTCACAGAAGGGGGTGGGGAGGTGGAAAGGGTGGGTGGGGAGGGAGGGAGGAAGGGGCATTATGATTAACACACATAATGTAGGGAGGTCACGGGGAAGGCAGTATAGCACAGCAAAGACAAGTAATGACTCTAATGACTCTATAGCACCTTACTATGCTGATGGTGAGTGACTGCAGTGGGGTGTTCGGGGGGATTCACTAATACCCGTGAATGTTGTAACCACAATGTTGCTCATGTGAAACTTTCATAAGATTGTGTATCAATGATACTTTAATTAAAAAAAAGTCTGAACTTAACCTAATTATCAGCATGTCAAGAGAAAAAAAAGAACAGTAGGGACTCCACCTTAAGGCTAAGATTCCATTTTAAAACCAGGGAGTAAGAAGGCAAGATTCCTAATATATTTTATAGTAATCAGCCAATAACCTACCCTACCTTAAGTCAGGGCAAGCAGTCCTAAATGGTATGTCCCCACTGCTCCAAGAACCACTATCTTTGAGAAGAACAGGATCAAGAAGTTCCTTGTTGTAGGTTTATCTTACAGAATATCTAGAGGACTGACTATGGTTAATTGGCATAATATCTCTCACTGGAGACAGACACTGTAAGACCACATGTCAAGGCTGTTTCTCCCCCTACCCTCCTACTCCAGCCCTTTGCCCCATTCTTGAAAGCCTAAAAGAGAATCCTAAGCATTTAAGTGCACCTCCTCTCTGAGGCTACCTGTACTCCCCTTTCTTTGAGTATGTATTTCACCTCTACATAAAGCCTTCTTGTTGCTCAACTTACTGTGTTTTGTCTCCATGTTCTTCTATGCCTCTTGGAAGGTTAATAAGAGACCCCTTCTCCCAGTGATAAGCATCTTTGTACTTTGCTATTTCATTCAATTTTCTAGACTTAAGCACAAGTCCTCACTCTCTCTGTTCAACTTCAGACAAGTAGGCAAGGGCTACTAAGATCTCTGATTTAGGCTTGCAAGTTCCCGTTGGCTAGGTGACCTGACAATCATGCTCTTTAGCAACCTGCCCAAAAATCTGCTTTCTTTGCTTTGGTAAGTTCTCAGAACATAATTGCCCTCCATCCAGTGCTCTGTGGCTCCCCCCAAATCCTGGGGTGGTAGGAGTTTAGTTCCCACACTGTGCAGATTCAAGTGGACACTGGACACCAGGTGACCCTGGCTTCAGGAGTTGGCAAGGGATTTGCACTATGGTCAGCAGTTCAGTGAACTTCCCTTTCCTCCCGCTGTTCTTCCTTGTGCCCTAGAGCCTGCACAGTTGCTGCCATTCAGTACTACTCTCGCTTTAATAAATTTCTTCCTTCACTTCCTTCCTACACTCATCCAACCTGTTAGAGAATTCTTTCTTGATCAGAGTCAAGAAACCCTCCTATCCCTCAACCCCCCACCCACTTCCTGTTCAGGTTGAGGTTTCACCTAGTGCACAGGAAGAGACCTCCCCAGATGCAGCTGCCTGACAACAATATGATTCAGCAATTGTGCTCCTTGGTATTTGCCCAAGAGAGTTGAAAGCATATGTCCACACAAAAACCATCAAATGTTTATAGCAGCTTTATTCACAATTGTTGAAACTTGGAAGCAACCAAGATGTCCTTTGGTAGATGAATAAATAAACTGTGGTACATCCAGACTATGGAATATTATTCAGCAATAAAAGGGAATGAGCTACAAAGGAGGAACCTTAAATGAAAATTACTAATATAAGTAAAAGAAACCAATATGAAAAAACTACATATGGTATGATTCCAATTATATGACATTCTTGAAAAGGCATGACTATGGAGACAATAAAAAGAGCTGTAGGAGGGAGGAGCCAAGATGGCAGCATGAGTAGGACAGTAGAAATCTCCTCCCAAAACCATATATATTTTTGAAAATACAACAAATACAACTATTCCTAAAAGAGAGACTAGAAGATACAGCACAATAACCAG